TCAAGTATAGGGACTGTATTATGTAGGCCAGTGTAGGAACCAACTTGAGTACAGCAATGTCCTACTAACACAGCCATGAAGTGAACAACCAATTTTATCTGGGGGATTCTTGGCCAGGATACCGGGAGAAACTCCCTTCTCTTTTCAAATAGTGCCATGGGATTTTTTAAAGAGCAGCGAGACGGGAGCTCGGTTTAACGTCTCGTCCAAAGAACGGCACCTCCAACCATTCAGCGCACTTCAAGCAGGTGTATTGGACCGTCAGCCTAGACTGTGAGCTGAAATCCCCGGGTTGGGGACTCTGGAGAGGGTTAAGCAGACAGGAGCACCGAAAAATACAATGTTGGTGGAAGACTAGATAAGGACGCTATATAAATGCAAGTTGTGGTTGTTGTAGTCATTGAAGTAACCCCTGAGACTGTAAAATCTCGCCTGGCATTTTTATTCCATGAAATATAGTCTACTGTATTACTAGTTAGTCTTGTACAAGTCTTGCCTTCCATCCTTGGCCGCGAGCATGATTTTGTCTAATATTACGCTGGAGATAAAGGTTTCTTTGGCGAAACACCAAACCCTCAGGTGGTTGGTTGTATGTAGGTGTTTAATCGGAGTGAGTTCTCTTCCTTGTCCATTTTTCCCTGGCCTCAGAAGCTGCCCCAAGACAACATATAATAACACGCTTCATCTTCAAACGTGTCAACTGGCTCTCTCACCACATCAGTGGTGTTTGACTGATGCCTTGTTTACTCCGAGTTCCCGGTGCCCTTATCTGGCCTCAGTTCATGGATTCACACCAGCTGATTGACTGGCGGGTGAACTTGCACGTCTGGCTCTGAGGGAAGCCAGGCTGTGAATGTTTTCCTGTGTGTTTTGGTCCTAATTTTTGTGTGGACGTTGTGCGTAACGCCTGAGTTTGTGCGTGGGTGCGTGTGTGTGTGTGTGTGTATGTGTGTGCGTGTGTATGCGTGAGAGTGTGTGTGTGTGTGCGCGCGTGTGTGTTTGTGTGTGCAAACATTTGACTTAGGCTCACCGAGCAGATAGTGTTTGTGTGTAGGGCAAAGGGGATCTTTCACCACTCGGTGAAGGCAGATGGCTTCCAATGTCTAGTTGAATAATAATAATAATAATAATAATAACAATCCTTGCATTTGACATAACACCTAATCACGTCGTTGAGACGTCTCAAAACGCTTCACAGAATACACTGCAAAGTGTAGTGACTTGTGTATTTTGTGGGCGAAACACGGCAGCCAATTGCACACAGCAGCGTCCCACAAACAGCCGTGGATTGAGTGACCACATTACAATTATTTTTTTGGAGGGATTATTACTCCCGAAAAGGTATCCGCCAATCGGCTAATAACCGGGTTCCTGCTTACTGCTAGGTAAACAGAGGAAGGTGTATGTTGAGGTGTCCCAATCACGTACTTTCTCTGGAGCTTCGCCCTGGAGTCCTTCGGCCTCGCCTCCCCCACTCCCCACCGCCCCCCACCGCCCCGCCCTACCTCCTTTCCTATCTTTAAAGCCAGCCTTAAAACCTTTGGTCACCATACCAGGCTCCTCCGAGCCGGTTCTGTGAAGCGCTTTGAGACACGAACAGGCTCTGCATAAATGTAAATGTTATTGTGAAGTAGGATCGAAGGCAATGGGGAGCTGAGCACCTGAATAGGACAAGGTAAATTGCACTTGCCTTGACTTTGATGGCTTTTCCACTCAAGGTCTCTTCTGGTATATTTTATTGCTATTAAAAAAAGAAGAAGCCTCATAAACCAGTCTGTTAAATAATTCTCATTGCGAATCAATTAAATATAGTCCGTTTCCGTCACCCGAAGTCAAGTTATGTCACCGGTAATTAAATTTATCCGCCTAGATGTGGATTATTCTATTTCAGGTGTTGATGGTGTTATTAAATTATTATTGCTTGATTAACTTTGTCTCGAGTGAGAGGTTTTCAAATTTAGCTCTGCTACCGCTCAGAATACAGAATGAGCACGAGGAAATCAACCGCCCCCCCCCTCCCGTTGATAATCTGTAACTAACTCAATGCCAGTTTCCAACAAGCTATCCTCCCTGTGGAGGTGAGGAATCACATTCCTTATCACTGTCCAGTCAGCAACCACCACTGGAGGAAAAAGCCGTGTGTTTGGATGTCGGACAGGCTTAGCTGTGAGGTCCCTCTGGACTTGTCGTTCGCTGTCTAGGTTCATACATAAGGTGAGTTGCTCACCAAGTCCAAGATGACACTCCAGTGCAGTCCTGGAGTACTTTGCATTGTTGGAGGTTTCTCCCGTGTCCTAGCCAACAATCCATCAAATACAAAAAATTGGTCGTCCACTGCACTGCAAGGCCCTTTGTGGGACGTTGTTATGCGCCAACTGGCTGCTGAGGTTTGCCCACAAAATACAGAGTCACTCCACTTTATACTATATCCTGTGAAGAGTTTTGAGACCTCTCGATGACGTGATAAGGTGCAATATCAAATGCAAGGATTATTATTATTAATTTATGTTGGCAATTTGTGAACTGTTCCTCCAGGCTGTTTCAACATCTTCAGGAGAGGAGAGAAGAAAATTGAGAGAAAATTTGCTGTTATCCCCCCCAAATACCTTGCCTATAAATTATTTGCGACTTGGGGCATGACCCTTCCAACTTGACATGGATTGCTCAGCACAAAAACAGGCTATTTGGTCCAACTAGTCTGTGCCAGTGTTTATACTCCACTCCCCGTTAAAGGTCGTTATGGATTTTCTGCCTTGAGGGAGATCTTCACTGTTGATTTTTAACGCACGTTAAAATGAAGCCAGCGACACTAAACAGCACTTACCCAGTGCTCAAACCCTCAGAGATAACCCCGTCGAACACCAGAAGGAATGGAGTGCTTTTGCTCGTGAAATGTCCTAACGTGCTTAAAGGCCAGATCGATATTCCAAGTGCCCGCTGTTAATTGGAGGTCAATCCATTCGCTTTAATATTCAGTGTAATATTTTCACATGGAATCCTTTTGGAATCAATATCTCTGGAAAGGTGAAGAGGACCTCGATGTCTGTGGTCACCCTTCTCCTTTGTTCGGCACCTGCCTGACCATTATAAAGAGCAACGAGACACTATCCTGCGTGAAAGACAAGATGTAAATGCAAGTTATTGTTGTTTGTTGTCTGCTGGAGAGATTTCCCCAGTGCCTCTCAATCATTCACCAGTCAGTCACCCTGAGGATTGAGGATAAAACAGAACTTGAAATACAGCACCTTATTTAAAAAAAAGCTTTGGGTTTTACAACAGCAACTTGTATTTATGTCCCACTCATCATGTCGAATAATGTCTCGGAGCGTTTTATAATGGTGGAATGGACGCCAAGCCGGAGGGCGGGGGAGAAGTGGGAAGGAGGTGAGCATAAGCACAGCTGAAGCAGTAGGTTTAAGGTTGGGATTTGAAGACAGATGTGGATGGGGGGTGGGGGAGTGGGGAGGGGCGGTGCGAGATGAGGGGATGAGGTAGAGAGAGGGAGTTCGAGATGTTAGGAGTATAAAATTGGAAAGCTCGGCCTCCAATGGTCGGGCGGGGGACATGCAGCAAACCTGAGTTAGGTGATCAGATTGGGCAAGCATGTATTTTATATATAATGCACCAATTGCAGAGTTATTTCAACTATAGCTTTCCCTCCGACTCGGAATTGGAGAAGCACAAGACGTTTTACATGCCAGAAAATCAGATCAACGCATGCACAGTGTTTCCTGTAATGTGGACATGTTGCTTACTAAATGGTGCTGGGAAATACTTAGATAAACACAGAGTACTCTACTTTCTCCAGAGACCTCACATCCCTGGATTATTTTACACCAGAATGTGACCATTTTTTTAACCCTTTCGGTGCTGCATCAGGCTGGCAATTATGCACGCATGTGTGTATACTGTGTACGTGTGTTTGGGTTCGTATATGTGGATCTAATTGCATGTATGTGTGTGTGTATTTGCATGTAATGGTTGGTATGTGTTTGCATACGTGTATTTGCACGTAAGTGCATGTGTCTATGATGTGTGTGTGTATATGCAATGCAACATGTGTCTGCATGCATATGTGTCCTTATGCGCACATCATCCAGAACTCTGCAGCCCATGCCTTCTCCCGCACCAGGCTCCGTGACCCTATCACCCCCATCGTCGCCCGACTCCACTGGCTTCCCATCACACAGAGAATACAGTTTAAGATCCTGGTCCTCACCTTTAAAGCCCTCCATGGCCTTCCTCCTCCCCTACCTCTGCGACCTCCTAATCCCCTACCATCCTGCCCGCTCCTTCCACTCAGCAAGCTCTGGCCTGCTTCAGGTCCCCCGCCTTGCCCGCCCCACCATAGGTAGGGGCCTTCTGCCACTCTGCCCCCACCCTCTGGAACTCCATCGCACAGTCTCTCCACCTCGCCCTCTCCCCTGCCTTCTTGAAACCCATCTCAAGACCCTCCTCTTTGACCGTGCCTTCGATCACCCTGCTTCCCCCCACCCCCGCGTGCCCTCCACTCTCCCCAATCCCGACCCCCAGCTCAGGTCCGAAACACTGACTGTCCAGCGCTTTGGGACGTCCTCCCGATTTGGTTGTTGTTGTTATATACATACAGGCATATACATGTGTCTATACTTTGTGAACAGAAGAACAGAAGAACATTTTCTTCTGAATTCACAAAAGCTGTAAAGTCCCATAACATCATTAAAATCTCACAGCTCTCTATTCGGGGAGCAGAAGTCGGAAATAAAATCTCTTTTTTTTCCTCCCGTTTCTGTGTACTGTTAACACTTCACACAAATTTCACAGAGTGTCAGCTTAGACTATGTGATTCCAATTCCCTACGTGGGCCTTGAACCCCACAATTTTCTGACTCCGAGGCGAGATTCCTACCAACTGAGCCAGGCTGACACTTGTTTAATTGAAGGGGGTTGCTGGGGGAAGCTGATGTAAATAGAAAGCAAAGACAGACTGACCCAGTCGTCCTTTCTCTCGCCCTCTCCCAGGTGTCGTGGAAGCTTGCCTGCTCCACACGCTGAAGCGTAGAGCTGCCGGCTTCCTCCGAAGCGACAAAGTTGCTGCACTTTTCACAAAGGTCGGGAAAACCTACCCGATCGCAGGAGACGTGTGCAAGAAGGTTCAAGAGCTGCTGCAGCAAGTGGACAAGTAAGGAGACGCATTATTAAAGTCAGATCAGAGGCACAATCGGCCACTTGCATCCAGAACCACAGACTGTGTGGGATACAGTATATACTTTGGGTCACGACATGTCAAACGAACTGCCAGGATGGTGGAAGGCAAACTAGATGGAGTAGGCCATTCAGCCCCTCGAGCCTATTCCGCCATTCTATATAGATCATGGCTGACCTGTAACTCAACTCTAAATTCCCGCCTTTGCCCCATATCCCTTGATACCCTTCCACAACAAAATTATTAAAAATTGTACTCCAATTGAGAGGAGGCGTGGGGGAGGCAGGGGGAGAAATTCCAAGGGTCTAAACTTAATCATTTAGTCCTAAAGTCTCTTTATTATTAACTGTCCCGTTTCACCCACAAAATATACATTCAATTCACTTGACAATATATTCTGTGAAGCGCTTTGAGTCGCCTCGAAGATGTGATAAGGCGCTGTATCAAATGCAAGGATTATTATTATCATTCGTTTTGCAGGAAGAATCAGAACAATGGGCAGGAATCTCTGAAACGACAGGGATCTGTATCCAAGAACCCGATCCTTACGCCTCAAGCTATTAAACACATCTGGGTGCGTACTGCCTTGTTTGAGAAGGTGCTGGACAGAATAGTGCAGCACCTTGTTGATAATTCCAGGTACGTAAGCACAATATTCGCCATTTATTTCTGCTCCCTTTCTCTTCTGAAAGTTACAGGGTTTTTTTCTTTTTTCTTTACTTTCTACCTTCCAGTACAACAAGAGGATGTAGGTTTAGAGGTGCAAAGGGCAAGTCCATGGACAGATACCAGATATTCTTTACACATAGAGTAATTAACAACTGGATCAGGTTGCTAGAAAGGGTGGTTGAGGCCAGGACCCTGGGAATCATTTAAAAAGTAACTCGATGCTGTGATGGGAGGATGGTAGGGTGGATGTTTTGGAGGGATGAGATAAAATGGGGCTTTCTTCATCGGAACTAATCTTCTGATCTTGTGACGTTGTAGCTCTGAATTACTGTCTTACAATACAATGCAAAATTACATTTGTAAAGCGCCTTTCACTTCGGGAGGACGTCCCAAGGTGCTGGACAGTCAGGGATTTGGACCCGAGTAGGATTGGTGGGGTGGGGGTAGTGGGTTGGTTTCAGGAGAGGTGGGGGGGCAGGGAGGGTGGGGGTCAGGAGGGTGGCTGAAAGACCCGTCGAAGAGGAGGGTCTTGAGACGTGACTTGAAGGGGCAAGGGATGGAGCGAGGCGAAGGGAATGTGGCATGGGGTTCCAAACGAAATGACGTGTATTTTCTAACCTAAAATGATATCATTGTCTCCCTCCCTCCTCCTCCTCCCCCCTCACAGTAAATATTATGAACAAGAAGCTCTCATGTCAGATCGAGTCTGTGGTCCAATTCTCGCCTCTCTGCTCGGTAAGGACTTTGCATCAAGATCTGAATTCTTTATGAATTATATAAGCCGAGGAAGGTTGTATAAAAACCTGTGGAGGATTAACATCTCTCAGTCAGTGGTTGTTTCTTTCTTCCCTATTTCCTGGCACTGGTCGAAAAGAGAAGGGAGTTTCTCCCAATGTCCTGGCCAAACAATCTCCCCAGACAAAATTGGTCATTTCACTTGATGGCTGTTTGTGGGACTTTGCTCTGTGCAAATTGGCTGTGGTGTTTATCTACAAGAGGACACAATCCCTGCACTTTACAGTGAATCCATTACGATATCCTCTCAACGTGAGAGGTACTAGATCAAACGAGAAAACCATTGTACTATTATTATTTGCGTTCCCTCGGTATTGATCTGTGATAGATAACCCGAGTCGACCCGAGAGAAACAGAGCCAAGCACAAGGCAGAAGGTGTCATAATACCCTGACTGACCGATTGGTTTTGTGATGTCAGGAGCTCTTGTGTTGTTGAGAGGTTCCAGAGTTAAGCAGCGGAGCACAGTGGACGGACAGTTAACTGAGGTTAGTTAACTGAGCAGATTAACTGAGTTAACTCCAGGTCAATTGAACCCCAATCTTACACCAGAGCAAAGTGCAGAGAGGGCAACTCTGAGCACAGTGTAACCACAACAGCTTTAATACAGTTCATATAAAGCATGCGTGTGATGGTGCTAGCCCTCTGTTTGCTGTGAAAGCAAGTATTTTTCTCTCTCTCTCTCTGCTTCTCTTACCATAGTTGGCCCTTGTGCATTGGAATACACGAAGCTCAAAACCGCTGACCACTACTGGACCGATCCGTCTGCTGACGAGCTGGTACAAAGACACCGGATACACGGAGTACACGGACGCCAGGATTCACCGTCCAAACGCCCGGCACTGGGTGTAAGTAGCTGCAAAGTCAGAAACCTGCTCAACTTGCGGAGTCCTGTAGCGTATTGGTTAGAGCGCTCGCCTCGCAAAGTGAGAGGACCTAGGTTCGATTCCTGGGTGCGGGACAAAACCTTAGGCAAGTTTCCTTACTCCACACGCCTGTTTACCTAGGAGTAAGTAGGAACCCGGTTGTTAGTCGATTGGCGGATTGCTTTTCCGGACGTAACAATCCCTGTAAAAACAAATCAAAAATAATAATAATTTGCTCACTCAATCCACGACTGTTTGCGGGACGCTGCTGTCCTCAATTGTCTGCCGCGATTCCCCCGAAAAATATACAGTCAATTCACTTCACAGTATATTCTGTGAATCGCTTTGAAAGGTCTTGAAAACATGATGAGGCGCGATATCAAATGCCAGGACTATCATTATTAATAGACGTAGGAGGGCTTGGAGCACGGAAACAGGCCATTCGGTCCAAAATTGGCTGCCATGTTCGCCGACAAAATACAGTCATTACACTTAAAGACCTGTGAGATTAATATGGGGGTCTGCCTCGTGCTGATCACATGCACTGGCAAACCTTTCCCAATGGGGCGTGTGACGGGCCAGGTTAGTGTGTTGTTTTGTCTCGCAGCGAGATTCCCGCTGTTGACTAAGACTTTGCCCCGCAGATAAAGAAGCGTCACTCCAGTGGGAGCATGTCCGAGGATAAATTTGCGGCCTCAGCGAGGGAGTACGTAGAGTCGCTCCATCAGAATTCCAGGACCCACCTGCTGTACGGGAAGAACAACGTGCTCGTGCAGCCGGTAAGAACGTAAGAATTCGCCGGGCGAAAGGAGACCGAGGTCCATCCAGTTCGCCTTCCACCATCCTGGCAGTCGCTTGCACATGTCATCATGTCCCAAACTATATACTGTGTCCCCGAGATATTATTTCCTAACGGAAATCTATCTAATCTGTCCTCGAAAGAATCGAGACTTTCTGCTTCCACCGTCTGTTCTCCCCAGGGGAGCCTGTTCCATGCGTTTACTCCTCGCTCACTGAAGCGGTGCTTCCTGAAGATTTGTTCTCAGTTTACCCTCCTTTCAATCGCAAGCCGTGTCCTCTGGTTCCACTGTAAATAGAGAAACGCCAATACAAGAAGCACAGGCGAGACCCACCCGGGGCTGCAGGTAACATTCCCGTTGATGTCACCCTCACAGATTGCCACGTCCCTCTGAATATGTCGCAAAGTCTTCTTAAACCCTTTAAAGTCGCGAGTGCCTTTTAATCCAACTCAATTAAACACTCTTCTTTTTTAATTAAAGAGTGGTGCTCTGTTGAAATTCCACTTTGGTTGAACAGATAGGTTGAGGGTTAGCAGCTTCCGAGCTAGAAGTGGAAACCAAATTCAACGGGATTCCCACTCCCGAGTGGACAGCGACGTTTTACAGGGAGATGGAGGCTGAATATTAATTCTCATCTCAATCTTGCCCTCTAAGCAGCCAGAGTTAGAATTTCAATTTATAAGAGGTTACAAATATTAATGATTTATTATGATTATACACATATATATATACACACACACATATATAGAATTATATATAGATATTTCAATCGGACGATCTAACCTTTAATACGCTGACACACAGCCTGACATCTTACACAAGGGCAGGTGGGGAGAGAAAAAAAAATCAAAGCTCAATTGAACAAGTCCTGACAAAATCGATAAGCTGCGTGAATCACAAAGAATAAAATAAGTGATTCCGAGTGAACAGGACTGAAGCGCTGAATGCCAATGAGCCGATCGCAGCCACTCGAACACAGCTGCCACGTTGAATTTGCGCGCAATGAATTGGCTTTAATAACAGCCTGAGTAGCTGCTGCTTGTGGACAAAACGTGTCGCTGGGGCAATGCGAGAGCTGGGCACATTCAGGTCGTTGCAGACGGACTTTAATTCTATTTGGTCGGCTATCGCTGTTAACAGGGTTCATAACAGGCACTGCAGAATATTTGTTGCTTTAGCGCCCTGAGGCGTGGGCTCACAGCTAATACTTTGATTCGCTCAGCTGTCGGTTTTGATGTTCACCGGAGCTAGGCTGAGTGTACGAGATGTATCCTCGCGATCCATGGTCTAAATCGAATGCCAGAAAAAGGCTTGAGGGGCTGAAGGCCCCACTCCTGTTCCTATGGTTCCCAGGACAGAGGAGTGGCTGCAATATAAGAAGAAGATTTTGTGTGCATTTTATACAGATTTACATAGACTGTACAGCGTACAGCGTAGCAACAGGCCATTCAGTCCAACTAGTTCATACCTACCTATGTACTCCACATAAGTCTCCATCCAATCTGTAACTTTTGTCTCCCTTCTGAAACTTTCTATTCCTTTCTCCCTCGTGGGCAGATCACATTTTGCTCTGATAGACTTTTATTCTTCTGCGCACGTAGAAACAGGGTTTAAGCACTCCGGGACGCTACCCCAGGCGAAGGGCGCTCTATAAATGCAAGTTGTTGTTGTTGTTGTAAAGGAATAGGTATGGAGTCCAGTATAGCATGTTGGTTAGCATGCTCGCCTCGCAAGCGAGAGGACCTGCTGGATTAATTTGGTCACTCAATCCACGACTGTCTGTGGGACGCTGCTGTGCGCAATCGGCTGCCGCGTTTCGCCCACAAAGGATGCAGTCAATTCACTTTACAGTATATCCCGTGAAGCCCTTTGAGACGTCTAGAAGCCGCGATGAGGCGCGATATCAAATGCAAGGATTATTATTATTATTAAGGAGCAGAGATGATGGGCCGAATGGTCTTCTTCCGTGCTATAAATTTCAGTGGTTCCAAATTCTTAATAGCAATCATAACAACAGTCACCCTTGCATTTGATATAGCGCCTTATCGCATCGCTGAGACGTCTCAAAGCGCTTCACAGAACCTACGGTGAAGTGAATAGCGCTGTATTTTGTGGGTGAAATATCTTAAACAAAACTGTGCAGCTAGCGCTCGGTGTCGAGGCTCGCGGATGAAGAACCCTCACTTGGGTAAGGTTCTGGTGGGACCCTACCCTAGCTGGAGCCTTTGCCTTCGACAGAGAGAGAGAGAGAGCGCGAGGGAGAGAGAAAAAAAATTCCTTTAACACTTGTACAGTGAAAGGACACCCATTGCACTTGCTTCACTTAGTGGCCAGTCTGAGAACTGCCAGGGCTCTGGCTGTCGTCTTAACCAACATCTGAAGCTGCAGCTCAAGCTTGGAGTGAGATACATACAGGCTTTTCCCTGCGTTTCTTCGACAGAAGGAGAATGTGGAGACTGTGCCTGGTTACCTCTCGCTCCATCAGTCCGCGGAACACCTGACTCTCAAGTGGACCCCGAATCAACTCATGAACGGAACGCTGGGAGATTCTGAGCTGGAGAAGAGGTAACCCACAATGCGCAGTCACTTCACTTTACAGTATATCCTGTGAAGCGCTTTGAGACGTCTCAACGACCTGATAAGGCGCTATATCAATTGCAAAGGATTATTATCATGATTATTATGCGCTCACGGCTTCCCAAAAGCGAAGGGACAGACCAGGAATAATAATAATAATAATTTGGTCACTCAATCCACGACTGTTTGTGGGGACCCTGCTGTGCGCAATTGGCTGCCCCGTTTCGCCCACAAAAAAAATACGGTCAGTTCACTTTACAGTATAATCCTGTGAAGCGCTTTGAGACGTCTCGAAGACCTGATAAAGCGCTATATCAAATGCAAGGATTATTGTTGTTATTATTATTAACTGCAGAGGAGAAACAAAAGCCCCGTTGATTTTATCTTGCGCACATAGTAAATCACGCTGTCAGCCTTTGTGAAATGTGATGTAAAACCAGACATGCCCACTGCACAGTCGCTACACTTCACAATAAATCCTTTGAGACGTCCTCCCAACACAGAAGGGGCGAAATCAAATGCAAGGATAATTTATTTTCTTTAGGTGCCTGGGAATGGCTCTATGTCCATGGGCTGGAGAGATCACTCTCCCTCTCCGCAGCCTCTGTAGCTGGGACCTTCTTGGTATTTATAGTGGTCATTTTCAGATGCACCGAGACAGAACAAGAGCTAAGGGAAATCTCAAGACAGATACCAGGACGTATCTCTTCACGCAGGGTTATTACGGACTGGAGCGGGGTTATCAGGAAGGGTGTTTGAAGCCAGGACACTGGGACGAGAGGCCACAGGGCGACTGAACCTGTGCAAATCTCCCAGGTTCAGAGAGGAGGAGAGGGGGGGAAAAAGGCGTTGCACGATTTATGTCTATATCGCAACGCTCCAAAGCACTATCTTGCGTGAAGGGTGCTATATACGTGCAAGTTGTTGTTGTGATCGAGGTGGGGCCGAGCGAGGCCGGGAGGGAAGGAAAACGAAAAGTGAATGATAAAATAACATTGCAGAGTAGTTTGGCAACAAACCCACAAACTTGCTAATTGTTTCTGGCTTAATTTCCAGTGTGTACTGGGATTACGCTCTGACTGTGCCGCTGAGTCAGATAGTCTGCATCCACTGTCACCAGCAACGTAAGTTCCTTTTCAAGTCTCTATTCACTCTTGTTCCTTCCCCTGGTAGCTGGTTCTTTGACAGTAGAGTAAAAGAATTATGGGATCTGAAATAACACCAGCAAACCCACAGCAACTATACCGTCCTGATAGCTGAGAGAGATCAACGACTGAGACACTGATCTCTCTCTCTCTCTCTCTCTCTGCCTGTCTCTCTGTCTCCTGAGGAACCTTCGACAAGTTTCCTTACTCCACACGCATCTGTTTGCCCAGCAATAAGTAGGAATCTGGTTGTTAGTTGATTGGCAGAACGATTTCTGGGGGTAATAATCCCTCAAAAACAAATTGGTCACTCAATCTACGACACTGGGACGCTGCTGTGTGCAATTGGCTGCCGCGTTTCACCTGCAAAGCATGCAGTCAATTCACTTTACAGAATATTCTGTGAAGCCCTTTAAGACGTCTCAACGACGTAATAAGGCGCTGTATATTATTATTATTATTATTATCTCTCTGACAAATGCTGATCCACCCACTACAATCCATTTTGACTCGATCGGAACTGAAGTTAATAATAATCGGGTGTAATTGAGTGTTAGTCCAGCCTAATTGACAGCGCTCTCGCCTCTCGAGTCTTCTGACTGTCGTGGGTTCAAGCTCCTCGGGGTTTTGCACTCACTTAGTCGAGGCTGACCCTGCATTGCAGTGTTGGGGGAGTACTGCAGTCTGAGGTGCTGTCCTTAGCATGAGACATCAACTCAAGTTCCTGTCTGTGCCTGTTCAGGTAGGCATTAAAGAACCAGCAGCACTGTTTGGAAAGAGAAGGGAATGAGTTTCTCCCAGTGCCTTGGCCAACAGTCCCCCAGATAAAACTAGTCATTCACTTCACAGCTGTTTGCGGGACATTGCTGTGGGCAAGTTGGCTGCCGCGCACACCTCAGAGTAAATCCTAGAAAGCACATTGAGAAGTGTCAACTGCGTAACAAGGCACTACATCAAATACAAGAATGATTGCTATTATTATTATTATTATGTGGTTACGGTTAAATCCCTGCTAAGTGGCTTTCAGTGAGGGGTCAGCTAGATCAATAATACTGCCACGTTACATATGAACAGATGTTACTTTCCTTAGTATGCTTTTGAGCTTCCGAAAATAGCTACGTTCTGCAGGAGGTTGATATGCTGTTGTGCACCAGGTATCTTGTGAAGATTTTTCTGAATATCTTAACAGTCCCAGTTGTACGATGATTACAGGAACTATCTTTGTTTTATGCTGCCACATACGTGCATTTTTATTATTATTGTTGTTATTGCAAGTGTCTATTAAAATGTAGTTATTTATAACATGGGCCTAAGAGTTTGTTAGACAGCGTGAGTGGCGGAGTGATGAGGAGACTAACCGCTCTCTCTCTCTCTCTCTTTCTCTCGACGTCCATTTGCAGCGGACTGTGGAGGTACCTTGGTTCTGGTCAGCCAGGACGGAATCCAGAGGCCTCCCCTGCACTTTCCCCAAGGTGGCCACTTGCTGGCCTTCCTCTCCTGCCTGGAGAACGGGCTCCTGCCCCGGGGACAGCTCGACCCACCCCTGTGGTCGCAGCGAGGAAAGGTGAGTTGACCCATCAAGGCGAGAGTGTGAGTGACTGAGAACATGGGGCACACAGAGTGCTTGAGGGATACAAACTCGACTGTTGAACTCAGCTCTGAGGAATCGCGCCTGCCATTTGCCTCTATCCAATCCAGTCGGACCTGCTATTATGCTTCACCTACAAAATACACAGTCACTACACTTTGCAGCATGTTCCGTGAAGTGCTTTGGAACATCTCGAAGACGTGATAAGGCGCTACATCAAATGCAAAGATTATTATTATTATTATTATTACTCTGTTCTGTTTCCGATCGTTTCAAGTCTCTGCCAAGGCACAAGATGTAATGTAAAACACAAGGCTACATTTTCCGTCAGGAAGTTATTGGAGCAAATGGGTTTCTCCCCCACGCTGTGTTTCAGAGGAATCTTGACGGGCACGTGAAGGAGAAGGGAAGACACGGGTGTAGATGAGGGGAACAGGAGGGTTGGGGGGGCTCGTGTGGGTAGGGTTATAAACAACGCACAGATTAGTTGGGCCGAATGGCCTGTTTCCGTTGCCGTATATAAATGCAAGTTGTTGTTCCGTTGCTCTACTGAGTACCTTAGTGACAGGAGCGCTTTGTTGTTGACGTGGTTGGAGTTCTGTTAACAAGCAATGGCTGTGGTTCCCAGGGCAAAGTCTTCCCGAAACTTCGGAAAAGAAACAGCAAAACCAAATCCGTGGACCTAGAGGAGCCGACGGAGGAAGAAATAGCTACCGATTACGTGTTTAGAATCATTTATCCCGGCCAGAAGAACGACTACAGTAAGTCCTTTTCCAGCGTCTCTCTGACGCCTGTTACCTGTTCTCTCCCACAGCCTCCTGGCATTCTGTGACATGAACATCACAGTCCTATCTTTATTTGCCTTCCTCGTCCTTTGACACGAGAAGTATCGGATTTCAGTCCACACTTCTCGTTTAGTCAGTTTGGCCGCAGTCACTGAATTGCTATCAGCACAATTGACACGCGTCCAAACAATATGCCGAGGGGTTGGCCTTTTGCTGGTGTTGTTCCTCACAGCCGATCGAGAGCACTCACCGCTCAATCTAAAACTCGAGGAGTGTGTGCGCCTTATGACTGAGCCGTGGGTGAGTGGGCTCGTGAGACTGTTTGTCCACGAGCGAGCGCTCTGCGAGGCCATTCGTACACTTTGCAAGTGTGTCGGCGTGCCTTGCCAGCGTGCCTTGTGCACTTTGCCAGCGCGTTGGTGCGTTTTGCGAGCGTGGCGGTGAACGTTAATTCCCGTGCCCCCAACCCCCCAAAAAAAAACATCTCCCCACCACGTTCTGTCGTGGTATAAAATTATTAGAACGTAGAGGTGATTAATGGCGGAAGCGGTCGTGGTTTGTGGGGGTACGTCACTGAGCAATGTTGGTCGTTGCCTTAACGGCGCTGTCAAAGGGCAAGTGTATGAGTGATTTGTACAGTGAAGGCTTGTTCCTCATCAGCCCTTTCAATCTTCTCTTTGAGCAGTCACTATTAACTACCACCACTTAGCTGCCAGTCGTTCTGTGTCTGTCGAGGATGACGAGGAGGAAGAGGATAGGCTACATGAAATGATTTCTATGATCTGCTCACGGAACCTCACAGCTCCTAAAATGATGAAAGGTTTTTATGCAGTTTGGCCTAATCACACTTTGAAGTGATATCGCAAGCCGCAGTGCACCCATAAAGAGTCTCATCTCAGTGGGGGTGGGGTGGGGGGGGGGAGGGGGGGCGGGGCGGTGGGTGAACAACAGTGTTGGCATTATTTTTATCACAAAGCTGTTATTACCATTCGGATTTTCAAGCATGACACACTTTTCACCCATTTGAGCCCACACTTCATCTCGATTCATTCACACGGTTGGGTTGATGCGTCTCGCTTGGGAGAGAGTCACGTCTTAAGAAGTAAAAGAGCTATGAATATTTCGAAGGACGTCACAATAGCTAGGGCTGCTGAGTCAGTGGCTCGAGAGTACACTCCCCTCGCAATGCGTGCGGATATTGTTCAGGACTTGATACACGATTCAGCCTGGCTCAGTTCTGAGTCAGAAGATTGTAGCTCAACCGCGCCCCCACCACCACCAACACGTCAGGTCTCCTACACTCTATGGGCTAACACCCTAATACAGTGCTGTGGGGGTGCCCTGCATTGTTGGAGGTGTTGTGTTTAGGGTGAAATGTTAAACCGAGTTCCTGACTGCCTGGTTCAGGTGGATGTTAAAGATCGTGCGGTACTGTTCGAAAGGAGAAGGGAGTTTCTCCTGGTGTCCTGGCCAACAATCCCTCCCCCAGATGAAATTGGTCGTTCATTTCACAGCTATTTATGAGGGCATTGCTGTGTGCAAATTGGCTTTAGTTTTTGCCTATAAAATACACCCTCTGCATTTCGCAATGTATCCTATGAAACGCTTTGAAACGTCCTTTCGTCGTAAAAGGCGCCACATCAAACGCAAGGATCATTCTTTGCGCCTCCTCCTTTTTCTGCAAGCCCACCCGGACAAGGCTGTGACATGCATGAAAATTGCACATGAATTTTAATCACTATTAAAGTTCCTGCAAAGGGCAAAAGATTGCTTGCAATGCAGATACCTTTTTCCCCTGGACACCCCCCCCACATCCACCCCACCCCTACGCTCCACTCCCCACCCCTTTTCCCACCGCCGCTAGTCAGCCACTTCCAACTCACCCAAGCATGTGCTGTGCACATATAATACACAAGCTCCCTCTTTATAAAACTGAACCCACACTCCTCGAATCTCTCTAAACTTAGCAGTTTCGATCCTTCCCGAAAGGAACAAGAACCCGTAAAAGGAAAGGGTTAGAGAAACCCTTGGCGCCTTGCCCCCATTGGTAAGAATCGCTAACGAGAGGTTCTCACTAAAGTCCTGGTAGGGTACGAAGGAGAGACAGAGCGAGAGAAAGAGAGGCGAGGTGAGACATGGTGGAGGGAGGGGAAGAGAGAGAGAGAGAGAGAGAGAGAGAGGGGGAGAGGGGAGGGAGAGGAAACCTCACTTGCAACCATTCGGTGTGTACTAAAAGATCACGAAAGTTTTTCAAGTGGAAACAAACTCCTGTTAGTTTCACGCCCGGGTCTCTCAAGCTCATTAGATGTGTAGGTACATGAGCAGTCGCTTTGAAGGTGATGGCAACACTGTTGTTTCCTGCTAATACGCTCATTGTTGCTTTTAGTTTTCTGTGACATGCTTGAAATGTGCACGTGGCCACCAATTCAGACTCCTCAAGATGCTGTTCACTGAAATTCTTCAGCGTGTTTAAAAGGAAAATTTGGTTCCGAGATTTCACCGGGCTACCTTTCATCAAGTTTTTATTCTAGTTTTTTTTTATTTATTTAGGCTCTGTGAGGTTCTGACTTTACCAAGTTCTTCCACTGAATTGTTCTTTCTACTTTTTAAATATCTATCTATCTATCTATCTATATATACACACATATATATATATATCTTAAAGATAAATAATGAATAAAAAATTTCAATTCCGCACTAGTTTATTTTTTCGGATCTCAGTCTTACGAGAAACTTCGGTAAATACTACATCAGTCGGCTGATTCTTGAAGAATTAATGTGAAGAGCATTTTTTATATTTTTATTTTTCTGGGTTTTGCTTTTGCTTTAAGTCGCTATGATTTCTTTGCGTTCGTTCGTTCGTTTGCCTTCCGTAACTTTACTTTCTTTTAAAAACCACGTTATTTTCTGCCTTGCCGTGAGTTTGCGCTTTTTTTTCGTTTGAATGGCTGCCTCCGCTGCTTTGCATTTAAGGATGTGGCATTGACCCTCCTCGCTCCTCTTTCTCCCCCGTTCCCTTCAGTTTATCTGTTTAATTTCCCGTTCCCTTTTTTCGTTCTCTTTGTTGCTCGAACCAGTGTCGGACTGAATGCAGTATTTTACAGATGTTCGCTTTCCTTTTTCTATTTGGACGGAAATAACCTGACATGCACACCCGGGAGTGTTGGGAAGGGAAATAATCTAATCGATGTAAATAGTTAATCGATGGGAGAATAGAGAGGAAAAGCAAATCGATCAGGCCTCCGAGCCAACAGCCTGGGAGATATACGGCTGTGCTAGCCGGCAAGCCCCCAGATAAAATTGGTCACACTTTATGGCTGTTTGTGGGGGCGACCCTGTGTGCGAATTGGCTCGTGCTTTGGCTTGCAAAAACACAGTACATCCACTTTACATCCTGTGATGCACTTTGAGACGCCCTCCCAAGGCGCTGTACCAGAGGCAAGGATACGGATTACTATTAGCTTTCCTCTGAGCTATTGTAAATAGATTACCACTCCAGGGTGTTAGTTATTCTGGATTTACATTCAATAATAATGTAAATTTCTCGCAGGCGGTCTCGTTCGGCACTTGGCTTGCTTGTTTCTGTCGGCAGAGACGGTTTATGCAGTTTATGAACCAAGAAGCATTATGGTTCATGCTCCCTCAGTAATATCAGTGCTTGTATGCACCGATCCCTTCCTCCCCTCCCACCCACACCCCCCACCACCCCGACAGAGGACTGCTGTCTGCCACACGGTCCCTCTGAGCCTATCATAGAATCATAGACTATTACAGCACAGAAGGAGGCCATTCGGCCCATCTTGCCTGTGCCGGCTCTTTGGAACAACTTCCTGATCATTCCCACTCACCCGCTCTTACCCTATATCCTTGCAAATTCTTCCTCCTCAAGTACCTATCCGATTCCCATTGGAAACTTGCCATTGAATCTGTTTCCACCACCCTTTCGGGTTATTTTTCAAATCAACCTGTCGAGGGTCCATTTGCAGTTGACCTCTGAGAAATTCCACGTCTCACATATAAAATTATCTCACAAAATTAAGCAGCGAGTGAGGATAAAATTCTGGTCAGTTCCATTCAGTGCCTTTTTTTTAAACACTTTTCCTTCAGTACCCACGATAAATCTTTATGTAACTCAAATTAAAAGCTTTAAAATTCAGCCACTGGTAATTTTACACCTTTCGATTTTAGGTCCAACATCCTAAATAATTGCGTCTGTCAATTCTAGGAGTGATGATCCGTGGGTGGGAGTGGGGGAGTGGGGATGTGATTAGCAGAGCCTGTCCTCAGTCGCAGGTCCATCCATCCTTATTTACGTCCGCAAGTCACTCTTAATAGAATCACGACTCCTGTCTTCAGCACTGTGTGTCTGGAGCCTTGGGTGCCCTTTGCTCATCGTATGTCAGGGCTGTTGAGTGTGGATTTGGTCCGATTTTGTTCTGCCCGGAAAGGGCAATCGTCCAGCGTCCCAGCCTCTGCTTGCCCTACCTGCTTCCTGACCCGAGGTCACCTGTGTACACACAGGGAGCTGGTGATTTGAGCTCATGATGAGCTTTTCCTTCCCCAACAACAACAACAACAAATTTGTAGCGCACCTTTCACGTCAGGAGGACATCCCAAGGCGCTGGACAGTCAGGGATCCCCACCCTAGTCTGAACCCAGGGCCGTCCATCATCCATAAATTAGTGCCCAAATACATGGTTGGCTCAGAGTTCGTATATTGGGAACAATTTTCTTCGGTGTCCAAATTGGTGACGGCACATTGCGTCTAGGCGGGGTGATAAGATTGGTCGTTCGTTTCATGGCTGTTTGTGGGACGTTGCTGGTGTACAAACCGGCTGCCTTACAAAACACGCGGTAAAAATCCTGCGAAGCGCTTTGAGATGTTTCGACGACGTGATAAGGCGCTGTATCAAATACAACACTTATTATTACTACATATCAAGCCCCTCCCCCCCTCAAAACCCACTCGGAAAAAAAATCATGAAATAACAGGCAAATGGATCAGACCCGACAAAGAATCCTCTCGTCTTCCTTTGCCCCTCACCCTGTCCAACTCCCCCGCCCCCCCCCCCACTCCCCCCCACACCACCCCAACCCGGCCTCAGCAATAACGAAACAAGTGAGCCAGAGTCTATTTATATACATTCATATTCTCAAATGATTTCTCCCTACCATTAGGGTATCAGTACTTGGACCCTCCACAAGAACCTCCCTGTCCTACCACATTGTAGAGGATATGTCCATTACCTCCATGAAAAAGTTACTGTTTCTATGGGGGGAAAAAAAAATCCAAACTGCAGCCCGCTGAGCACTCTCTTCCCTTTCAGATCCCGGCGACTTGTTGGAATTGCACGGATATTGCTCGGCTCAGTTTCCGTGGCAACAGGGAGACGCCTGTAGCCGAGGCTCCTCATGCCAATCGTGTTCCCGCCGCGGCTCCCCTTATGACCTGCCCACCTGGTGTACCTGTGGCCATGACAGGTAAGGAGACACATCAGATCTGGCTTTGTCGTTTGTTTCCCCCCCCCCCACAACACCCCCCTCCCCGCTTTGTCCCTCGCGACCTCCAGTCCACCATCGACGGCCGCACTTTCGGCCACCGCGCTCCGAAACTCTGGAACGCTCGCCCTCAATCCCTCCACCTTGCTCCCTTCCTTCCCCATCTTCAGGTCGCAGCTGAAGACCTTCCTCTTCGACCGGGACTACGGACACCTGCCCCCGTCCCCCGGCTCGGCATCGTGCTCCGTCACCTTCAAGCGCTCTGGGACGCTACCCTGTGTGAGGGGGCGCTATATAAATACAAGTTGTTATTGTTGTTGTAGCGTGGCTGAGAGAACGAGCAGGTGGTTTGTATTCAAGTACGTGTGAGTGTGGTTGGAGGGGTCGGTGGAGGGGGGTGGGGGGGAAGATGGTGTTCCAAAACCAGAAGAAATGACCTATTTAACCATCACACGTGTGATTGAGCAGTTACACTGGTCCCTTGTAGCTGAAACGTTATTTGTCACAGGGTGTGATTGTGAGTTCCAGTCTCAGGCTCCCTGACGATCCATTGCTCATTTTTGTCAGCTCCAGGGAGTGAGGTTCCCCCACTGGTTTGTCAGAAAATTTTTCCTCCGGGAGGGGGGGGAGAGGGGGAACAGCTGATGATCTGAGTGATGAGTATTGTTGGACGAAACTGAAGGCTTGCCATTGATTTCCTCTGTGTATTGGGGATTTCCTCTGTGTAATGAGGTGTGCTACCTGTGTAATGGGGATTTCTCCTGAGATCGGATGGACCCAAGGGGCTTCTTCATCCAGACCACTCTTGTGATCTTGTGAGTTAGCACGGCAGTGAATTTGGCTTTCACCAAGCAAGTCAGCTGTGTGTAGGATTTGTAATGAGATGGCTGCCGAAACAGTGTGATAATTACAGTGCTGTAATTGTTCATTGCACATTGTGAACAGCTCATCTTTGCTCTGGAGATATCGAGTTGAATTGCTCCCTCGAGAGCCTTCTGGTTCCCAGGGCCGCTGCAATTAACGGGGATCAAATCTGATTTATTCCCCTCATTAAAACAAACTGTTATGACAAAACCCCGATGAACTAATGGAACTAATAACTTCAGGCTGTGGTTCATGGGGTGCCTCATACAACAACAGCCTCTTACCAAATGCTCCAATCTCTGGCTTGTTCATCATTAGTAACGTGTTTCAAAGAGATCTATGAGTCCCGTGATCTCTTCTGCCACTTTTACTGTTGTTCGGACATTTGGACATGAACATTCTTGTCTACGTTTAACAAAGGGAAGGAAAATAGGCACTCAGCACTCAACCGTTCTGCCGTAAACTGGCTCCTTATTCCCACATATCTTAACTACACTGCGTGTCCAATGTTAGCATTTTGGATCCATGCGCAAAGGGACCTAGATAGATCCGCATTACTTCGGCTGTTTCGCAGGACATTGCTGTGCGCAAATTGGCTGCCCAGTTCGCCCACCAAATGCACAGTGACTGCCACGATGGTGAAAGAGGCATCCTCATGATGTGAATGGCGCTGTATCAAAGGCAAGGATTATTATCTTTATCACTGCTTTCTGTGGCACAGCCAAACACGGAAGTAAAAATAAGTTTGGCCGAAAAAAACAAATCTTTACAAATTGTATCCTTTGGGGGAAAAAATTGTCTTCGAGTTCCACGCTGTTACGTAACCGTTCAACGCCTGTTCTGTGCAGACACTTTGATGTGATTGCAACACCCAGAGGTGTCTTATTGTAAAATTTATCTCAATGTCCTTGAAACTTACAAAGAAGCAATAGAAGGTTTCTTCTCTGCAGAAAGGTTGATTTAGAAGTGTCTCCAAAGGTTCCTTTCGTGCAATCCTTTTTATGTTATAAGAATGAGTTATAGTTGAAATATAGTGGTGGGGGGAGTGGCGGGTGGGAGGGCGCGGTGGCGGGGTTTGGAATTTGCCCAGTTTGATAATGCAGCATAAATTACATCTCGTACAGTCTAGACTTTAGGTAGCTCGGTACAATGTGCCTCTTCAGCAAATAGATTCACTTCATTTATCGGAGGGTGTTTTATGGGATGGCACACCGCAAACAGCACTGCACTGTTAGACATAGATAAGAAATAAAACCCAATAGAGCAATAAACAGGGAAAGGAAGACTGTGAATGCTGATGTCTAGTCGAGCAGAACTGCTGCAAATCTTTGGGTCACCTGGCCAGTGCACTAATGAGTTTCAGACGCCAATATTGACCTGCCGAGAATTTCTAGCAGATCCGCTTCTGCTTCTGCGCCAACTGCGTCAGCACGTTGTTGCATTGTTGAGAAAGCAAATCGTTCTGCCAAAGAGACAGTGGGTTTGGAAGGGATACTGATTTCATAGAGAGAGAGAAAGAGAGGAGAGAGAGAGAAGATGGACAGACGCCGTTCACCAAAACCAGTGATGTTTCGACAGTGATGTATTTCGAGTGGGATTTCCCATTCGTTTTTTTTGTGCTCGGTTGTGCCTGGAGTCCTGCGTTTTCACTTTTTTGACTTGATTCCACGTTCTGCTCTTTATGTGCCAAACTTGCCATCACTGTGATTCTATTCTCCTAACAACAACAACAACTTGAGTTTACATACCTCTTGGAACTCCTTTCCTCGACCGCCTCCATCTCACCCTCTCTCTCTCTGTCTTCAAGTCCTGTTCTGCCGTGTCTACGGTCACCAGCTTCCACTCCCCCACCACCCCCCACCCCTCACACACACACACACACACACACACACACAGCTCACTGTCCATCCCCACCACTGTAAAGTCCTGCAATACTAAGCATGTGGAAAATGGTAACTGTTGTTTGGTTGCTTTGCTGTAGGACCCCACTGAAGATGCTGTGTGAGAGTATGAAGAGACAGATTGTTTCAAGAGCATTTTACGGCTGTAAGTACAATACGATACAATACGGCTGTACGATGCAACAGGCAATCTTTTCCGGACGGCTAAGAGAAAGAGGCTCTGAAACTGTTTTGATCCAAGATATTTTATTTAATGGGAACGGAGATAATGGGTTAGAGCCCAGCTGTGTTTGCGTCCAATTGTAATGCACTTAACCCTAATCGTAAGGCACTTTGAAAGCCATAGGACGTGATTCCAGGTCGATGAGATGCTTGGCTGCAAATTGGCTTGGCTAAGAATTTCTTTTGACTACTTGCTAATGTATTTTTCCCGAAAGTCTTCCCTTATTTGTCTTTGGTTTGGTTTCTGTGCCCAGGGCTCGCGTACTGCCGTCACCTCTCCACGGTCCGCACACACCTGTCGGCGCTTGTGAATCACGCTATCGTCCCGCCAGACAAGCCCTGCGATGCCTCGGGCGGCCTGACTTCCGAAGTGTGGAGTAAATACCAGAAGGACAGGAAGGTAGGACACGGAGGGTTCAGGGATTGTAGCCATCACACTAACCAAACCTCCTGCAAGAATTCATTGCTGTGTCAGACCGGGTCAGTTGGTAACGCTCTCTCACCTCTGACGCAGAAGGTTGTGGGTTTAAGCCTGACGTCAGGACTTTGAACTCGGCTGACATTTATTGGATGAGTCGTTAAACTGAGTTCCCTTCTATGTCCCGTGGCACTGTTGGAAATTGAGAAGGGAGTTTCATCCGGTGTCCTGGCCAACAGTCCCCCAAAGAAAATTTTATTATCGTTATTTATTATTTGTTATTCACATTGGCGGTGTGCTCCATTCAGTGTTTCAGCATTCTAGGTGGGTTGATTTTATGACTGTGTAGCTCAGATGAGTCTATGCTGCTGCCCTTTAGCACAACAGAGCTCATGTCATTCAGCACGGATGTTTGTGTAGTGAAGTCACACGTTCCTGTCAATGTTGACATGTTCTTCACCAGAGTTGATCTCGTAAAGTGCTGGGTAGGATCTTTGATCTTGTAAAGTGCTGGGTGACCCAAGTCTCTTATTAGATGATTGCAAAGAATTGAAACAAAATAGGTTTGACTGACTTCTCAATGAGTCACTCACTCACGAGTGGATGTGATTGTGCAGCCCTAAAATACACACAATGGTACTAAACAGCGCTGTGTAAGTACGAAAAAAAACTGGAATAGAGTGCTATGGGAGAAGGGATTAGATGGAGGTTCAGATACAGTATAAACACCAGCACGGGCTAGTTGGTTTGAATGGCCTGATTCCATTCTGAGCTGTCTATGTAGTTCAAAGGAAGTTTTCACCAGCATGAAAATGCTTTGAAATACAAGCGTTCAGGAGTCTGATGATAAAATTGCCTTCAAAAATCAGTCAATAGACGTGGACAGCGATTACTGTGTCGCATGCTTTGAGATTTGAGATGAGCTTTGAGGTTATAAGTGCTATAAAAGAAAGTTTCTTTATTGTACATTGCACAGCTTAAACTGATTGACAGCACCCTCCTTAAACTGATTGACATCACCCTCCTTAAACTGATTGACAGCACGTCTCGATTGCTTCACCTCGGTTCACTGACTCTTCCTCCAATACCAAGATACTAGTTGCATTTGTTGAAACGTCTTACCACATTTCAAAACATCTCACAAGAGACCTTTGTTTAGTGAGATACTTTGTTATGTGATGCAGTGTATAGACAAAAGCGGCTGCTAATCTGGGCAGCATCTTACAACCAGCAGTGGGAAGAGTGACCAACGAATCTATGTTTCATTCTGCTTTGATCACGGAATAATTATTTGGCTGGCAGCAGAACAGACAGCGTAAGTGTCAGACATGTGGAACAGTACCAACTCCTGCCAGGGGCATTTAATGGTTAATTAACTTCCACTCCACCCCACCCCACCCACCCTCCATCGTTCCTGACCCCAATTCCCAGCTCGGGTCCCAAACCCATCATTGTCCAGCGCCCTGGGACGTCTTTCCGACGTGAAGGACACTATACAAGTGTAACTTGTCGTTGTAATTAATAAGTATCGACGCAGTTTCAGATTAATAATTTGTTTCAAATTTCAGAACTACAAAAAGTTAGAGCTTCTCCGGTTGGTTTACTACGGAGGCGTCCAGCACGAGATAAGGAAGGATGTGTGGCCCTTCCTTCTAGGACACTACAAGTTTGGGATGAGTAAACAGGACATGGATCATGTAAGTCTGTTGATATTTCTCTTTTGCTCAACTTGGTACTGAATCCAAATCCCAGAATTGAAAGCACTGAAGAGAGTTACCTCCAAGTAATCAGACAGAGAAAGAGCAGGCGTACATGATCTGATGCTGACCGTGCAAATCATAATAATAATCCTTAAAATAATAAAAAAAAGCATCTTTATAATAATAAAAATTGGCCTGAATGAAAAGGTTTGCGGACCACGGAAAAATAGTTCAAAGCTGAGACATGCAAGAGGTCTGAGCAGCAATAATACTAAGTCATGTGTCTTTTTACCCCCACCATCCCCAAACTGCAGGTGGATGAAGCTATTGCAGCCAAGTACAGATATGTGATGACAGAATGGAAAACCTGTGAGATAGTCGTCAAGCAAAGGGAACGGGAAACCCACTCTGCCATCCTGGCCAAACTCTCCTCCGGCAGTAGCATAGACAGCCACGTACAGAGGCTAATCCATCGTGATTCCACCATCAGCAACGACGTAAAAAATGTCTCCTCCTAGTTGAGAACTTACAACGCGTTAGCAGACTGTTTTCTTTAGACCTTAACTTCCTCCTGTTTATAAGCCAGTCACTGAGGGCAGGAAATCTTCCCACTCAACTCCTGTTAACCCTGCAAACCAAAGCCCTAATGGGTCTTAGCTGGACAAGCAGCGGGAAAGGTTGCCAGACAGTGCAATCAATGTGGTTTTAGCTGGTTAGACTCCAGTAGGACCTCAAAGGACTCTAGTCCCCAATTCTTGTCTTTTGCCAGGCTGTGCCTAATTTTTTCCAGAATTAGGTAAGCAGGATGCGTCGCTCCAGGGAAAGAGAGAGAGAGAGAGAGAGAGCGCATTCCATTCCAACAATCTTATCTCTGGGATTTCCATGTGAAGGTGGGATGAATGGAATCCTCAGTTTGGTTTGGATACTCTTAAGCATGGTGGTGGGTTTCTGCATGTGTCGGACACCCGGCTGACCACAAAAAATAAACCTCCTTCTCTTTCACTTCCTCAGTCAATAATTTTAACACCTCGCGGTTTGGTTGTACTGTTTACGACGCTTGCTTTTATTTGGCAGTTTGGTCAATCAGACAAATTGTCCACTCTGTGCTAGATATTATAACACGAGTGAGTGGTCGCAAAACAGAGCAAAACTGGGCAGCATTAATGAGTCCTGACACTGTACAGTTTAACAGGCTTTTTATTGAAACTCTTGTCACTGGCCTCAGTCTTGGGCTGAGAGTTGCGTTGCACTTCTGATCCTAAAAACCGGCTGCATGTGTTAATACCAATTGAGGTTCCATTTATTGCGCAGTTTTAATTGTGGAGTCCTGTAGCTCAGTGGTTAGAGCACTCGCTTTGCAAGTGAGAGACCTGACTTCAATTCCAGGCAGAGGGCAAACCTTGGGCAAGTTTCCTTACTCCACACAGAGCCTAATAATAATCCCTCCAAAACCAAAAATAATAATAAATTGGTCACTTTCAATCCACGACTGTTTGTGGGACATTGCTGTGCGCAATTGGCTGCCGCGTTCGCCCACAAATATACAGTCAATTCACTTTACAGTGTGTTGTGTGAAGCGCTTTGGGACGTCCTCCCGAAGTGAAAAGCGCTATATCAAATGCAAGGATTATTATTATTATTAATAAGCGATTGGGCTCCTGGCATCTTCTGCTTGCCGTAGGGCCTCCTTAGTAAGATGCCTGTGCTCCTGGATTCTGATGAATGTCCTTATTCACAGTGTCAATCCCTTTCATATCTCATTCAGGTCTTCATTTCCGTTGACGAAGGAGACCAGCCAGGCAAAGACTCTAAAGCCACGGATGACCCAATATCAACCATAGTAAGCCTTGGCACCCCAACCGTAGCGCTAGAAGAAAGACCGTCAATGGAGTTTGACTCCCCAGACTCGGGCTTGCCTTCCTCTAGGAATTATTCGGTTGCATCGGGACACTCGCGAATCCTTTCGAGTACTGATGATGGTCAGAGCCTGTGCATGGAGGAGGGCGTGCTGGAGGATGAAAGTAAGACTGAGTTGGGTGAAACTTCGGAACGGACTGATATTGTCATGGAGTCCGGTCCTCAAGGGCTAAGCATTCGGCAAAAGACAGGCTCTGAGAGCTGTTTTTCGGAAGAACAGCTGTGTGCTCAGTTGGATTCGATACTGCCCGAAGACTATATCTCATCATTGCCATCCACAACATATACGGTCAGTGTGCCTCCATCCTGTGTTGAAGAGAAAGCAATTGAGATAAAGTAGACAGCTGCATAGCTCCTTGTGCTAGAACATTGAGCTCGTTCCTCGGGAATTTGGATTCGAATTCCTCCAGGAAAAGGGAATGAAGGTCTTGTTGGTCTCTTTGGTGTCCTTTGAAAGTCTCCGTTGGGAGTCAAATGTCTTTTCCCGTGTAAATGATCCCGTAATGTAAAGGTAGCCTGAAATGTGTTGGATTTGTAATTGGTTTTGAATTTTCATACACTGCTCTCGTAGTCATTTCATAAAGTGAATTTGCTTTTCCTCAGTCACCCTGCTCACCATTCATGCCATGTTTATGCTGAAACCATATGTTTGTGCACTTGTCTGTGACTGCCCTCGTTATTGTCACTTTATGGCTGTCTTTTTGTCCCCCTCAGCTGATCTGTCTTCCTCCGTCTGCGCTCATTGCTTTTATTACATTTACCTTTGGTGGCCGCCCTTTCAGCCACTTCACCTCGAAACTCTGGAACACTCTTCCTCTATCCCTCCGCCTTACCCCTTCCTTTCCCATTTTCAGGTCGTGCCTGAAGATCTTCCTAATTGACCGTACCTACGGTCACCACCCCCTACCATCAGCACGGAGTTGTGCTCCACCACAGTCAAGTGCTCTGGGACGCTCTCCTGCATGTGGGGCGCTATATAAATAAAAGTTGTTGTCGTCGTCACATGGGGTGATTGCACCCTGACCTCCTGCTTATTTACAATGAGCCGCTCTTTGTCTTGACTCCTTCTGTGATCTTCTTCGATCACGTACACCCCACCCCACTCCCTTGTCCCCCTGTGCTCATCAGTCGTTTATTTTCTCTTGTCTCGGCTTCTGTTGCCGACCGTCCTCTTTAAATCTGTTCAAACTATCACCGTCGTGGCTTTTTTCTCCCCCAAATCAGTTGTTATTTTGCCTTCTCATCTCATCGTCAAGACCTTGTTTGGCATCTTCTCGTCTCAATGTTCCTCCACTTTCCATCTTTCACTTCCATGTTCGTGGCTTATCTTTACTGTTGCGATCTGTGTTCTTTACTCTGTGTTCTTTGAAGCAGCTCTTCACATTGTCGTTGATGATTAGCCCCGTGGTACCCACAAGCTCCTTGATACTTGAGAACTTTCACCTCATATATCCATGGTAGAATGGTCCACCTTAGATGGACTACAATGGACAGTGGTTATGTTTTTTTAATGTTAGTGACACCTGTGAGGAGCAACGTGAAGTGTAGGAAAGCTTTGATTGTAAAAGGAGGAATAAATATGAGATAAATCACGTGGCTTCGGTTTGATGTCAAGTTTGGCTTCTAAGAGCCTGTAGGTTGTGGTAGGAAGGAAAGACCGGCAGAGGTGAGAACGTCCTGTTGTTAACATGAGGAGATGATGCACTCCCAGGGTTGGGATTTCAGATCCGTAACTAGAGGAGCACCGAAAAAGCCATTTAAATTAAGTTGCTACAGTTCTAGTCGTTAGTTACTCATTCATATTGGCTCAGCTCATCCAATCTACTGCTGAACCCCAATAAGAGCGCGACTAATCAGCCAGTAAACATTGTGCCTGTATTAGGACTTCGGCATAACGGGAATGTTACTTGCAGTTCTGTGCTTGGGTCAGGTTTGTGCTTGTATCTCGCCTCTGAGTCAGAAAGCTGTGGTTTCAAGCCCCACATCGGGACTTCGAGGTCACGGTCTAGGCTGACACTACAGCTCGGTGCTGGGGGGGTGCAACTTTGTCAGAAGTGCCGTCTTTCGGACGAGATGTTAAACTGAGGTCCCGTCAGCCTGTTCAGGTAGACGATAATGATCCCGTGGCATTTTTTGGAAAAAAGAAGGGAGTTTCTCCGTGTGACCTTGCCAATCATCCCCCAGATAAAACTGCTCAACGCTCATTCACTTCACGGCTGTTCGTGGGGCATTTGTGTGAGCAAACTGACCTCTGCAGCTTTCGCCTACAAATTCAATCGTTACTATTCACAGTAAAATCTTTTGAAGCGCTTTGAGATGTCTTAAGGACATGATGAAGGCGATACATCAAGTGCAAGGATTATTGTGAGTTTATCGTGAGTCTGTTGACTATAACAGGTAGAGCAACTTTAATATTCCTTATCTCATAGACAGAACTGATGGATGCCGTTTCACTCAATTGGCACCGGATTGATAAGGATGTACAGCGCTGTGACAGAAATTACTGGTACTTTACCACGATCAATCTCGAAAAACTAAAGAATATCATGTGCAGGTACAGATCTGAATCTTCATTTCCTAGATGAGCATTGAAAACAAGCCACTGTACATTGGTTCTTCTCCTCCTATTAAAGTTTTATTCCCTTTGCCTTGCAGCTACGTGTGGGAGCACTTGGATATAGGATACGTGCAGGGAATGTGCGACCTCTTAGCACCTCTTATGGTTATCCTGGACAATGGTAAGCAATTAGCTTTATATGATAGCAACAAGACTGGGATAAATACTTTAATTGTTCGAAGCTTTCACCCAGCAATGAGCGGAGGGAGTGCAGCTGTGGGTTAGTGATGGAAGGCATTGGACGCAAGGGTTGCAACCTCACCCCCACGCGTACAAACCACAGCCACTGAATTGGAGCGTGATGAGGATGAATGGACATGTGGTTAGTTGCCGTGCGGGTAACTGTTACGCTGGTGTGGTTGAAGAAGATGAATAGCAGTCACGGCTGAACAGTCAACAGCCTGTGCATGATGCCCTTTAACCCAAACTCACACAGGTAGATGTTAAGGGTCCCACGACACTATTCGAAAACAGTAGAAAGTTTCTCCCGGGTTCCTGGCCGACAATCCCAGATTTTTAAAAAAAAATTGGTCATTCAATCCACGACTGCTTGTGGGACGCTGCTGTGCGCAGTTGGCTGCTGCGTTTCGCCCACAAAATACACAGTCAATTCACTTTACAGTATATTCTGTGAAGCGCTTTGAGATGTCTCGAAGACGTGATAAAGCGCTTTATCAATTGCAGGGATTATTATTATTATTAATCACGCCATGGCTGTTTGAGAGATGTCATTGTACGCAAATTGGCTGCCATATCTTCCTACCAATACACAGAGCTCCACACTTAACTGCGATTTCCCTTGAAGTGCTTTGAGGCATTTCAATCTTATAGGTGGGGTATCAAACACAAGGCTTACTACTGTTATTATTATTGTTATAAGCAAATGCACCCAGTTTCATTCTGTATTCTGCTTTTTGAGTCCAGCTCTCTTGAAACTTGATGCTGCACAAAAGGGCACTCTATCAATGAAAGTTACTGTTGTTGTACTCATTGCAGAACATACCACTGTCTCAATATAACCGAATGATTGTTGCAGTTGGAGAACATTGCCCGTATTCTTTGGTTTATGATTGGCATCATTGTCGGGATGTCAGAGTGGAGCACTGGATGGATTAGCGGAGAATTCCGTGAACAAAGCACTCAGTGTTAATGTCGCTGTGATTACCATGTGGAGAAACCTTCTTAGTTAGAGGATCAGAAATGTACTCGGGGCTGTTTTTCTTATGGTTGGAGAGGGCACTTTGGAAATCGGCAAATAGCAGGAACCGAGTTAATACTTATCCAAGCCTGGGTGGAGGCGCTATAGTAATAATAATTCCTTGCATTACATGTAGCGCCTTATCCCATCTCCAAAATGTCTCAAAACTCTTCACAGAATATAGTGTAAAATGTAGTGACTATATTTTGTGGGAGAAACGCGGCAGCCAGTTGCGCACGGGGGGGTGTGCCCACAAAGTTGTGGATTGAGTGACCATATTATTGCGATTAATATTTTTAAATTTTAATTCTATCACTGGACAAGCGCTCCGAGACCCTGCCCCACAGGCAAGTTGCTGTTGGTGGTGGTGGTGGTGCAATCGGATTTGGGGGAAGTTGGGGAGGAATGCGGTTCCAGTTCTCCATCGCTCCAGTGAAAGTCCCTGTCGGTGGACGTTGGATACACACGCGGATGACAGACCCATCAGACAGACAGCCTGTTAAAACTCACTGTGTAAGCTTATGGAATCAGAATAGTCATGTGGCCGAGATCCTGGGTGGACCTGTAGCTCAGTGGTTAAGAGCGCTCGCCTCGCAAGCGAGAGGACCTGGGTTTGATTCCCGGGCAGAGGGGAACGTTAGGCAAGTTTCCTTACTCCACACGTCTCTGCTTACCTAGCAGTAAGTAGGAACCAGGTTGTTAGTCGATTGTGTGGATCGCTTTTCCGGAGGTAAAAATCCCTTCAAAAGAATAATAATAATAATTTGGTCACTTCAATCCACAACTGTTTGTTGGGACACTGCAGTGCGCAATTGGCTGCCGCATTTCGCCCACGAAACACACAATCAATTCACTTAACAGTATATTCTCTGAAGTGCTTTGAGACATCTCGAAGGCAAGATAAGGCGCTATATCAAATCAAGGACTATTATTATTATTATTTATAATTGCATCCCTGCCATCACAGAGGTGACAACTCCAGTACAGGTGTGAATGCTCCACTTTGTATCTATTAATAAACTCCTTTTCTTCCTTTTTCTTATGCCTTTAGAGCCACTGACGTACAGCTGCTTCACTCAGCTCATGAAGAGAATGACTCAGAATTTTCCCAACGGAGGAGCCATGGACACTCACTTTGCCAACATGAGATCCCTGATTCAGGTAACGGCAGACTGAGACAGAGCTCAGCGAGGCTTTGGGACAGAGCTGTTAACATCAGACCATATCCCACAAATACACGGTTGGTCAACAAATACACAGTTGCTCCACTTTACTACCGTGGTCCATCCGTCCGTCCATTAATCTGGTAATTTTTGGGGTTTAATCACTCCTGCATTTCTCCACGTCTGTTCCTGTTATGGATCCACCAGTATCTCTGATCTTTCCTTCTTGTCCCTATCGCTGAGATCCAAGTTCTTGGCTCTGTGCTGGCGTGTTCAAATAAAATTTCAGATTTTATTCATGACCCAGGCTGTAGTATTTTGTCGCTCTCTACGTAACAGTGGTAGCAGTAAGTAGGAACCCAGTTGTTAGTTGATTGGCAGATCGCTTTCCGGGGGTAATAATTCCTTCGAAAAATAAATAAATACATAAAAAAATAATAATAATTTGGCCACTCAATTGGCTGCCGGGTTTCACCCACAAAATGCACAGTCACTATACTTTACAGTATATTCAGTGAAGCGCTTTGAGACGCCTTGAAGACACGATAAGGCGCTGTATCAAAGGCAAGGATTATTATTATTATAGTCTACACAGATCCTGACTCATGGGTAAAATCCATTAGATTAATTTTTCCGTGCTTTGGATGGGATGTTAAATTGTGCTCCTGCCCCACGGTTTCCCCTCTTTCCTTGTTTGTCTCCAACGCTGAGATCCAAATTCTTGTCTCTATTCCCTCATGTTAATTGTTCAATTTCAGATATTTCCCCCCCCACCCTTTTCTGGGGGGGGGGGGAGGAGGGGAAGAGATGGAAGAGGGGGTGAGAGTTGGGAGCGGCAATAAGTATGCACTGTTAGCCTCCGATTCCATCTTAACGATCCACAGACACAGAGCGGCAGAGAATTATTTTGTAACGGACTGAAACTCCCTGTTTTATTTATTCCCCCCCATCCAACCAACCGCCCCTTCTCTTCACCCCTCGCCCCGCTACCTATTCCTAATTCTCTTTCAGATTCTGGACTCCGAGGTCTTTGAGCTCATGCACCAAAACGGGGACTACACACATTTCTACTTTTGTTACCGCTGGTTCTTGCTGGATTTCAAAAGAGGTAAAAAAAAACACACAGACTTAGTTTTCTGAACAAGAATTAACAGCCCCCCCACCCCCCCACACACTCCGAGATGTCCCTTTTTGAGCTTGAAGAGCCTTAGCTCGTTGTTCCCTCACAGCTCTCTCATCTACAACAACAAGTTGCATTTATATAGCTCTTTTGTGTCGGGAGGACGTCCCAAGATGCTGGACAACGAAGGGGTTTGCACCCATGCTGCGGGTTGGGATCAGAGAGGGTTGGAGGGCAAGGCGGTGGGGGGGTGGGGGTTAGAGGAGGGAAGATGACCAAGGACACAGTCAAAAAGGAAGGTCTTGAGAGGGGCCTTGAAGAAGGCAAAGGAGGGGACGGCAAGGAAGGTCTCTGGGATGGAGTTCCAGAGGGTCGGGGCAGAAAGGCTGAAGGCCTGAGTGCCAATAGTGGAGCAGGCAGGGCGGAGAGCATGAGGCAGGCCAGTGCCTGTAGAGCGGAGGGAGCGAACAGGTTAGTGAAGCTTTAATAGGTCGCAGGGTTAGGGTGGAGCAAGACCATGGACCAGGTGAGGACGAGATCTTGAACTTGATTCTCCGAGGAATGGGGAGCCATTGAAGCCAGGTCACGGAGCTTAGAGCGGGAGAGGACATGAGCTGCAGAGTTCTGAATAATCCGCAGCTTGTGGAGCAAAGATTTGGGAAGTCCGACGAGCAGGGAGTTAGCGTAGTCTGGACTTTGCAAGGTCTCCTTCACCACGGAAACTCTGCCTCCTAAACTCTCTCAGAGGTAGCAAGACTTTCATTTTTCTATTGACTGTAAAAATGTGGTTGTTTTTAGTGGAGCTCAGCTGGGTTTGATGCAGGTTGGTGCGAATTCATGCGAGTCTCTGACAGAGGAAGTTGGTTTCATTTGACTCTTTCTCTCCCGACCCAGAACTCTTATACGAAGATGTCTTTGCCGTGTGGGAGGTTATCTGGGCAGCAAAGTACATCTCCTCCGAGCATTTTGTACTTTTCATTGCCTTGTCTCTGGTGGAGCTGTATCGGGAGATCATTCGTGACAACAACATGGATTTCACCGATATTATAAAATTCTTCAATGGTACGTATTTTGCTTTTGTTCTCAGAATGCGCAAACTCTTTTATTTTCCTTCCAACCCCGTTCCCACACAACCTCAGCCCTACCCTCACCCTCACCACTCACTGGTGGCCTGACCTGCGTTCCCTGATTTCCCCCAAATTAAAAAAATAAATTGTCACGCATTTCATGGCTGTTTGCGGGACATCACTGTAAGCAAATTGGCTGCCGTGTTCACCTCCAAATACAGGACACTGCACTTCACGATGAAACCCTGGGAAGCACTTTGAGGCATGCTCCCGGTGTGACATGCACTAAGTCAAATGCAAGTATTAATAATAATAATTATAAGTTATATATTCTGTGAAGCGCTTTGAGACGACATATTACGGTGCTGTATCAAATGCGAGGATTATTACTATTATTATTATTACTCCAACATTAAAAAGAAGTAACGAGAGAAAATCAGGGAATATATCGATCTACAATTTGAATGCGAACGTATTTGTCAGTATCAAACAAAGATAGTTCCTATAATCATCGATGCAACTGGGACTGCTAATAAGACTATTCAGAAACGGCTTGACAAAACACCTGGTGCACAAAATATCCACCTCCTGCAAAAATAGCTAATTTGGGAAATTCAAATGTACTAAGAAATGTAACATCCGTTCATATGTCATGTGGCAGTGTTGTTGGTCTGGCTGAGCCACCACTGAAAGCCATTCAGAAGCTACCGTTACAGAGTCATTTAAACTGTAATAATAATAATTCTGATTTTCTTAAACACTCATGTGCCTTACAATTCATTATCAGGGGAAATCTCCAAATTGCACTCAGGATGATGTCATTTGTCTGCATACAATACAAAGTCAAATGACGATGGTAAAGCGCCTTTCACGTCGGGAGGACGTCCCAAGGGGGGGCAGGTGGGTGGGAGTTGGGATCAGGAGGGGTGGAGGGCAGAGCGGGTCGGGGGTAGAGGAGGGTGGCCAAAAGGTATGGTCGAGGAGGAGGGTCTTGAGACGGAAAGGGAGGGAGCCAGGCGAAGGCCATGTGGGATGGAGTTCCAAATGCAATGTAGTGTGTGTAAACACAAAGCTTTAAAGGGAGAGGGCAGCGAGTGCTGAGATGTTCACTTGACGTCGCTTCTCTCTCTCTTCCCCCCCCCCCACACACGCAGAAATGGCCGAGCGCCACGACGCCCAGCAGATCCTGAGGATCGCCCGAGACCTGGTCCACAAGGTGCAGACGCTGATTGAGAACAAGTGACTGACGTGAGGGAGACGGGCAGAGTCTCAGCATCTCTGTAACCCCGGCAGGATTGTCCCCCCTCCCCCCCACCCATTACCCCCACTCCCACTCTTCCTCTCCTCTCCTCTCCTTGCCCGTGCACTGAAGAACGATGATCCCAAAGGACGGGCTTCACACACTGCGGGAATACACACGCTCAGAGAACGTGTCGGTAGCCAAGAAGCCAGAAAGACTTATGATCCCCTCATTCCCCTCCCCTCTCCCCGTTCTGCCCTCCCCCCCCCCCCTCCTCACCACTCCCACCACCACAATCTCTCCCTCAGGCAAACCATTTTATTCCTCCACAGTATAGGTTTTTAACTGTCTACGTTAATTCTCTCCCATTCCATCTTCTTCCCCATCGCTGTTCATCTCCCACACCCCCACCCCACCACCGTCCCTGCCTGTCTGCCCGCCCGCCTGCCAGTCATGCCGAATCTATTGCCTGTCTCAGCGAGTGCCTGATTGCGATGGGTCCCCCCTTCCCCACCCCCACCACCGCGGTGCCCGCTGCTTTGGTTGACAAGGAAACATTGAGTGAAGGAGTTAATCCTTGACACTTTCGGAATCCGCTCGTCTTTTTTTCCCCCCAACGCACATTTATTCCCGTCGCGACTTTTTGAAACTCCGACAGAAACAGACGGGAACCTAGTGAGCAAGTGTTTTTGAATACCAGCCCCCACCCGCCAGCCCCCCAACACAACCCACCTGCCTCTCTCCTCCAGCACTAAGTTAGCATGCCTTCGACTGAAATGGGTGTATCTTCTTCTTTTGCGGGGTGGTGGATGGGGGGGATGGGTGGGGGGGGGGGTTAAGGCGGTAATTTATTTTTTTGGAAATGATACCTCAGTAGGTTCTGTTCAGTTAGCTTGTTGGTCTGCTTTTTGGCGTTCCCAATGCTTGATCTTGCCAAACAGTGAGGAGACTCCCCCAACATCTCCCACCACCTCTGCCCGCCCACTCCACGCTCCCCCTCCCACTCCCGCGCACACACCATCACAACGTGTGAAAGGTGGAAAGGGAAGTTCAGTGCCCAGAGGGTTAACCTCAGTAATAACCATGGTAAATGGAATCCAGTGCATCTCGGTATATGTGGACAATACCAATACAAGTTTTGGGCCTTGCTATTTTTCTCCCTTGCAAATCAGTGACTGTGGCCCACAGTTATAGGGTCGTCACAAAAATTGTTGGGATGTGGACAAGGAAAGGTGGTCAAGGCAGAGTACATTGTGGGTTTCAAGAGGGAAGTAGACAGGTCTATGAAGGATAAAGAGTGTGGGAATGGGGTTGGGCAGTGGGTTTGAACAGTTATCTTGCTCTGAGAGTAAAGGTGCGCACTCAATGGGCAGAACGGCTTCCTTCCGGGCTGTAAATTTCTAGAGTACTACAATTTATACCTTTTCACGCTGGGAGGATGCCCCGAGGTGCTTGATGGTACTGGCTTGGTACCCGAGCTGGGGATGCGAGCCACGGGGGTGGGGTGGGAGGGGTGGGGGGGGGGTGACTATAAAAAGAGGTTGGCCTCAAGTCGGACCTCGAACGAGGTGAGGGAAGGAGTGAATGTGTGAGGTCAGATGTACCAAGTGGGGAGTCACTGTTGGCCCAGCCACGGACTGGTGACCTTTGACTGTTGAGACCTGATCCCACACCCAGCCCGATGTCCTCTGATTTGGAGCCAAATGCAGACGGCGAAACTAGAGCATGATGTATCCCTAATCCTCCCCCCCCCCCCCCCGAGATATCTGACTGTTGTATATTTTTATTCCCGTGTTTCCCTCCGTTATTTAAGAATGCCAAATGATCGGATGCATTGACTTGTGTGCGTGCGTGCGTGCGTGCGTGTGTGTGTGTGTATGTACATAAATATATATATATATATGCCGATATCTCTTGTATTCCTCTGTCGACAAGAAAACCTTGGATCTCCGATTACCTCTCTTTAGAAACCGGTGACAAATCTGTGCATGTGGCTGTTGGTATGTAAGCTGGTATCTGATAAGCAGGCTAGGCAGCTGGGAACCAGGCAGATGAACGATACGATGCTCTCGTTCTACACGACGGGCTCTTCTGATAACCCTAACGTGTCCAGGCCGCAGCGCGAGCAAAAAACTGCCGCCAGTGAGTTAGCCACGTCCGTTGGCCAGAACGTAAAACGATCGGCCAGATTCCCGGCTGGCGTCGCTGGGCGTGTTTGGATGCTGGTTCGCGGATCGAACGGGAGAAAGGTTGGTGAGCAACGAGCTCTGTTTCCCTCTGTCTCTGTCTCTCTGTTTCTTCCTGAAGACAGCAGCACTGTAGGCACATATCCAAAAGTTAGTTAGTTAGTTAGCGAGTTAGTTAGTTAGTTAGTTGGTTAGTTCTGCTGCAACTTCCCAAAGTGATCATCCATCCTCTGTGTGTGTGCCTCACCAGCAACAATGGACCATTGGCTTATGGAGACTATTGGGGAGGTGAAGGGAATCTGTCTCGGTCTCTTGGTTTCCTGGCCAACAGCTCCTCCAGATTAAAATCATCCGTTCCCTTCGAGGCTGTGTCTTTGCGCAAATTGGCTGCCGAGTTCGCCCGCAAGGTGCACAGTGGCCGCACATCATAGTAAATCCTACGAAGCAAAAAAAAAAACCGTAATGAATTCTTTTAAGGCAAACACGGCAGCCGTTTGTGCCCATTGATGGAGTCCTGTAGCTCGGTGGTTAGAGCACTCGCCTCGCAAGCGAGAGACCTGGGTTCGATTCCCAGCCAGGGCAAAACCATGGGCAAGTTTCCTTACTCCACGCGATGATAATAATCCCTCAAGGAAAGAAAGAAATAAAACAACAATTTGGTCACTTCAATCCGGGACTGTTCGTGGGAACGTTGCTGTGCACAATTGGCTGCCGCATTTCGCCCGCAAATATACAGTCAATTCACTTTACACAACACCAAAGCGGAGGCTTTGAGCTGATGACCTTGTGACACACTGCGATGAAACACAACCAACTGAGCCAAACTGACATACACACACACACAGAACTAGTGTTAATTCCGTCACTGGTATTTTCCCAATTCCCTGTGTGTTCGCTCCGCTTTTTTGCTTCTCTTCGAATACCTCGCCAGGTTCAGTCAACAACTGAACGGGAAAGCCAGGCTGAGACCTGATTGATTGACGTGCTGTGAATTATATTATAATTATTATATTATCTGAGCATTTCTGGTCTGGCTCAGTGCAGAGAAACCACATTTGCGCAACCTTTCACACCGCAAATTGGAGGGAAGAGAGAGACGCTGAGCCAGAGAAAATGGGAAAAGTATTGTTTTCCCATAATAAAGGAATGGGAATAACATGTCTGTTATCTGGCATGACTGCTTGCAAAATAGCGTTACCTAAAAACCATATATATATATATACACATATTACACACATATATATAGAGAGAGAGAGAAAATATTTTTACTCATCCAACTCCCTATTACGTTGCTGCATTTTGCACAGTCGGAGACAGAGGTGGACGCAACCCGGGGTCAGTCAGTGACTCTCTCGTGACTTTAAACCCTCCGCGCAACAGGTAGAGAGCGTGTCTTGAGACGAATGTTGTTATTAACAGAAACGTCTTCAGCAAAAATCCCCAGAGGTGACGTCCAGCTCTGAGCTGCAGCCAGAGGAGTTGAATGATAAAATAAGACCCGCAAAGCAATCTTTCACTATTTAGGGTTTTTAAATATATTATTTTTTAATATATATAGTATATATATATATAAATATGGTGTCACAAACACCTCATCACCACCAACAACAGTTATTCAATCGCCGGATTATTGTTACAACTGGAAAGGATTCTGCACTAAAGGGGTCAGAGATAGAGAGAGAGAGAGACGGGGAACAAAACTATTTTGTTTCTGTGCATTGTCCGCCCCAGTGTGACAGCCGTTGTACCTCGCTGAAAGAACGTTGCACAGCTTTGTGTTTCTTTGCTCCTCACTGTCTGAGATTATTGAATGGGAACAAATGGAATTGAAACCTGTGCTGCCTTTTGGGAATTTACAGTGGGGGAGAGGTTGGGGACGGGTGGTGGGGGGGGGGGGGGGGGTGGGTGGTGGGGGGTGGGGTGGGGGTGAAGGTATTGGAACTCCTAACAATGTAAATCGACTTGTGTAACTTTTCTTCACTCTGTCACCTTTGTACGCATTACGCTGTGTCTTTGAATGTTGTGGAATGCATTATTTATTTTTTTATATACGAGTACATTTATTCTCCTCCGTTAACTTATGTAACCCATCCCCCACCCCCATCCCCCCCACCCCCGAACCCCACCACTACCCAGAATGTAATGTTATCAATTAAAAGTTGCTCCTGCATCTCTGCACCACTTGTGTGTCTGCTGTACGGTTAGATTTCTTTTGACCTGAGAATCTGCGCAGTGTTGGTGAATCACTGCTCTCACTGGACCAGAATATCTTAAAACGTTTGGCATTGCTGGCTTGGGAGTCCGTGCTTGGCAGTGAACATAGGAACAGGAGGAGGCCATTCAGCCCCTCGAGCCTGTTCCGCCATTCTATTGGATCATGGCTGATCTGGACCTCAACTCCAAACACCCGCCTTTGATCCGTATCCCTTGATATGGAGTGGTAATGATCCCTCCTCATCCCCCACCCCCCAAAAAAAAATTCTGTGGGTAATAATGCTGTCAAAATAAATCAATTTTAAAAATAATTTGGGTCAATTCAATCCACGACTGTTTGTGGGTCACTGCTGTGTGCAATTGGCCGCCGCGTTTCACCCCCAAAACAAGCAGTCAATTCACTTTACAGTATGTGAAGCGCTTTGAGGCGTGATAAGGATTACTATTATTATTATTATACCCTGACTTAAATATCTATCCACCTTAGCCTTGAAAATTTGAATGGATCCAGCACCACAGCCTTTTGGGGGAGAGAGTACATTTATTCCAGATTTCCACCAACCTTTGCATGTCTTTTTATATTTCTTTCTTTGTATTTAAGGGGTGCGTGCTGAAAGGGGTGGGGGAGGAGAGAGATGGCCAAAAGCACCGTCAAAGAGGTGTGTTTTGAAATAGGCCTTGAACAGGGTGGGGTAGGGGCAGAGGAGCAAGTCGGAGGTACTCTTCCCCTTCCCCCCCCCACCACCCCTCCAGCTGATGAATCCAACCCCCAGCTGATGGATGGCGTTCCAGAGAACAGCAAATTATATTTGTGAAGCTTCTTGTATTTCAGGAGGACGTCCCAATGCACTGCGGAGGCAGAATGGCTGAAAGCAAGTCTTGCTAGCTCATAAAGTGAGTCAATCCTCCGTGACCGTCTTGGCAGCCAGTTCCTGGGCCAGACGAGTGTTATTCCTCACAACCTAACCACTGTGAACGCTGGCGAGCTTCCCAGTGTGTGACCACCCTGTAGGTTAGAGTTTCGTCCTGCAGGGTTAATGGGAGCAGAGTGGGAAGAATACCAGATCCCAGTGACTGGTCTGCTCCTCCAAGTCATGCTAAGGGCCCAGGTTGCTCTTCAATAGTGCCTCGGTGCACAGCGTAGCGTCCCAGAGCGCCTGCTTGTTCCGATGGCTCAATGGATGCTGAGGACCGCACTCGTATAATGAACAGCAGTGCATTTGGCTGGTGCTCTTGCCAATGTTTCTCCTTCAGCAGAATGCACAAAACAAAGAGGAATTGGCCGTTCATGTTATCGCTGTTTGCTGGCAAAGACTACTAGCTGCCCAACTTAGCAACAGTCAC